TGTGTGTGTGTGTGTGTGTGTGTGTGTGCATGTGTGTCTGTGTGTGTGTCTGTGTATGTGTGTATATGTGTGTCTGTGGGGGGGTGTGTGTATATGTGTCTGTGTGGGGTGTGTGTGTGTCTGTGTGTCTGTGTCTGTATGTGCATATGTATGTGGGGTGTGTGTGTGGGGGGGGTGTGTGTCTGTGTGTGGGGTGTGTGTGTCTGTAGGGGGGTGTCTGTGTATATGTGTGTCTGTGGGGGGGTGTGTCTGTGTGTGTGTCTGTGTGTGGGGGGTGTGTGTGTGTCTGTCTGTCTGTCTGTCTGTGTGTGTATATGTGTGTCTGTGTGTGGGGTGTGTCTGTGTATATGTGTGTCTGTGTGTGGGGTGTGTGTGTGTGTGTGTGTGTGTCTGTGTCTGTGTGTGGGTTGTGTGTCTCTGTGTGTGTGTGTGTCTGTGTGTGTATATGTGTGTCTATGTGTGGGGTGTGTCTGTGTGTATGTGTGTGTCTCTGTGTGTGTGTGTCTGTGTGTGTATGTGTGTCTATGTGTGGCGTGTGTCTGAGTGTATGTGTGTGTGTGTCTGTGTCTGTGTGTGCATATGTGTGTGGGGTGTGTGTGTGTGTCTGTGTCTGTGTGTGTATGTGTGTATCTGTGTGTGGGGTGTGTCTGTGTGTGTATATGTGTGTGAGGTGTGTGTGTCTGTGGGGGGGGGGGTCTGTGTGTGTGTCTGTGTGTGGGGTGTGTGTGTGTGTGTCTGTGTGTGTCTGTCTGTGTCTGTGTGTGTCTGTGTGTGTCTGTGTGTGTCTGTGTGTGTATATGTGTCTCTGTGTGTGGGGTGTGTCTGTGTATATGTGGGGTGTGTGTGTGTGTCTGTGTCTGTGTGGGTTGTGTGTCTCTGTGTGTATGTGTATATGTGTGTCTATGTGTGGGGTGTGTCTGTGTGTATGTGTGTCTGTGTGTGGGGTGTGTGTGTGTGTCTGTGTCTGTGTGGGTTGTGTGTCTCTGTGTGTATGTGTATATGTGTGTCTATGTGTGGGGTATGTCTGTGTGTATGTGTGTGTCTGTGTGTGTATGTGTGTGTTTGTGTATGTGTGTGTGTGTCTGTGTGTGTCTATGTCTGTGTGTGTATATGTGTGTGGGGTGTGTGTGTGTGTCTGTGTGTGTCTATGTCTGTGTGTGTATATGTGTGTGGGGTGTGTGTGTCTGTGTGTGTATATGTGTATCTGTGTGTGGGGTTTGTGTGTGTGTGTGTGTGTGTGTGTGTGTGTGTGTGTGTGTGTGTGTGACTACAGACCCTGTAGGTTAAATACCAAAGGACCCAGAACAGCTGCCCTGGCCTCTGTGTGGTCTGCACTACCCCACAGAAGTCACACTGCTCTGTCTCTTGGGTACAGGTGGTTGAGATATCCAGCCTGACAGAACACCTGCTGACAGAATGTGACAAAAGGGATGGGTTTGGGAAGTGCCACCGCTGCAAGGAGGCTGTTCCCAAGGAGGAGCTTCCCAGGCACCTCAAAACCAAGGAGTGCAACCGTGAGTGTCCTCCCTGGGCATGGTCCAGCTGCTGCTGGGGGTCAGGCATGGGTTTTGAGGGATTAGATGTGCCCTTTCTCTCCCTGAGGGTCATCCAAGTAACCAAGTCTTCTTCTTTATTGAAATCATTTCAGCTGCCAAATCGGAGAAGGTGGCAAACCGATGTCCTCTATGTCATGAGAACTTTGCCCCTGGAGAAGAGGTGAGGGGGCCTGAACTGAGATGGGAGTGACAGGGAAGCGTCGAACACCCTCTTAGGATGAAGGTTATGGCCGACTTCCTGACAGCAGAGTCTCAGGCACTGGGCAGTCAGCACCCACGGTCTCACACTTTGTGGTCACGGCTCTCATGTGTGGGTCCAGGCCTCCCTGACACCATGGTCGGGTCTGTGGCCCTAACCATTTGGAGTAACAAAATGTGCCCCGTGATGGTTGATAGTTTTCCTCCTACTCAGTGCTGTCCTGGGTAAGTAGCATGGTGGCACTGGCAGCTTTTCGGTGTGTACTTTGCCTCTGGTGTTGGGGTGTGCATGCAGGGCCTGCGGTCTCCATGAGTCTGCCCCCTTTCTGGCTGTCTGCACAATACAGTGGAGGTGCCCTCCATGCCAGGCAGCTCTGCTCTGTCCCAGGAGATGCTGTAGAGTCCAGTGTTCTTTCCTGTCACGTTTCTTCATCATCAGTGTTGTGTGACAAGACTTTCCCTGGGGAGACACAACACACATCTGTTCCCATCCAGGAAGGAACCCACTACAGTAGACTGTTGCATCACCAAAGCTCACCCCAGGAAGAGTGATGGTTCACTGAAGCTGGGAACCTGGGGCACACTGCACAGCCTGCAGGCAGAGTTGGAGAGTGTCCTTTCCAAGTGACTCTGGTCTAAGCCTCTCCCCTGCAGCTCAGCTGGTCTCTGCTTCTTCCAGGCAGCTGGACTGGTCTTGGGGTCTTCTTTGTAGGTTGACTTGCATACTCTGGCAAGGCAAGGGCCTAGTGAAATTCGTCAGTTTGGGGGACTTCCTGAAGCTATTTTACGTTGTTTACCTTCCTGCTTAAGGAGTCCCACAGCATAAAATTTTTAATCTTGAAAGAAACTGTTACACAACACTAGGCAGCTTTTGAGATGACAGGCCAGCTCACTAGTCTCTAGGTGGCAGCTTGACTGCTTCTAGTGTCTTGCTAAATGCATAGATAAGAGTAGACAGAGCCATGGCCATCCCTGCCCTTATATGGGTGATCACCTCTGGACAAGTGTCCCTTTACCTGGTCTCCTGAGGCTTTGGAGCTGACTCATGACCTTAGGTAGTATCTTCCTATCTGGAAGGTTCTGCCCAGACCAGGAATCAGCTGTCCCTGTAAGGGGTGTGGCCCTCTCAGCTGGCCTCAGTGCTTAGCACAACCCCACTACAGTGGGCAAAGCGGGGACACTGACATGTCACAACCCTGTCAGTGCACCTTCCTCACTCACCTTGTCTTTCTGGAATCCCAGCATGTCTTCCCCGCCAGTTCTGTAGCCTCACCGACCTCAAAGGCCCTGAGGACACAGTATTAGTGTCTCTGACCTAGGACAGCCCAACAACACTGGAGCCGGTGGGCCGGCCCCTTCTACTATTATCTGGTACTCAGGAGCTGGCCAGAGTCAGGTTCTGTTCTGGAGTCCAGTGCATAGCTCTACCAGTCTGGACGCCTGCTGAAGACATGCTTGGGTACACTGTGTTTTCATTTCACAGGTCTAGAGGCCTGAATTTTATAGATGCTTTCCCCAAGACTGTAAATAAGGCATGTTCTAAGAACTGCATCTGGGCTGATTCTTGTAAGAGTTCTTATTCACACCTGCACATCCACAGACTCTGCAACCCACTGCTCATTTGTAATTTAGGAACCTTCATTTTTTTTTTATCATAATTGGTGCCTTTACTGAACCACTCCCAACTGCCCCCAGTCTTCTCTCCTCCCCTCGCTCTGACTGAACCAGCCACACTCACCATCTGCCATGCATGCAGACCCTTTGTGTGTCCTCGGCTGTTTGCTGTTCAGTTGCTTTCCCTGTTGTGGCCGTCTGTGCCATACAGCACACACCCTACTTAGCCCTGTATGACAACATCCATTTACCACCTCATGGCTCCCCTGATTTATGGCCTGGGCAGGCCCAGGCCTCCACTGGCTTCTCATTCATTACCTCCCAGGCTTCCATGGAGTTGCCAGCTAACCTATGTGTCACTGCAGCTCATCAGGGGAAGGGCCCACTGCCTTGTGCCTTCTAGCAGCTGTCAGAAATAAGTTCTCATGCCCACAAGACTCAGGTTCCAGTCATCCAGGGTAGAATGTGAAATGTAGGCTCAGCTTGTAAGACTCGCTGAGGCCCAAGAAGGGCAGGGAGCCAAGCCTCTGGCTTGTTAGACCTCATTCCCATTATGAACAATGAGTTACCTACTTTGGCAGCACCCCAGGTCCCTTTGGAGCCACCAGGCTAACGTGCTGCGCCTCTTCTTTGTTGCAGGCATGGAAGGTTCATCTGATGGACTCTACTGGCTGCACAATGAACCTGCGAAAGACACATGTTCTCTACAAGGCCACAGCCCCACAGCAAGGTGAGGTGGAAGCCACATGTGGGCTCCTGTGTTCTGCTGCCGCTTAGGTGAAAAGCATCCTGAATGTCCTGCCCTTGTGCAGCAGGCTATGGCTGCTCCTCACAGGCCTCCTGGCAGCTCACTGGGGGCTGGTAAGGCTCACCACAGCGGCTGCACCTTGGCTGTTCCCGTGTAACTCACACAGCCCACCATCCAAGGCATTGTCCCAGAAGGTATCTATTGCTAAGAGATGCTTCAGGCCGAAAGACCTTTGGATACAGTGACACCGCGTGATAAGGAGGTGACCTGTCCTGGGGGTGTAGCTCTGTGTTTCAGTAGTTATGTACAAGAAAGCCCTTCATTCCTTTCCTGGTTCAGTGGAAACCAGTAACCTATGTCGCTGCTCAGGCTGCACCAGGTGCCATGCCCAGGGCTCAAATGGCAAGATCTCCTCTTCAGCCAGCCTCCTCTTTATCCAGCCTCTTAGAAATAAGTGGACACAGGTCCATGGCTTCTTGTCAGGTTCATTTCTGGAGCCGGGTCATTGAACTGATGGCCTTCTGTGCCCTGTGTCCTTAGTCTTCCTCCCCCACTGCCATGTGGGTGTCTCTATGCTAGTGTGGGTTCTCCCGGCCATTCTCACTGTCACTGTGGGGTCTGCAGCCCACCTGTGGGTAAGAGTTCCTCTTTTCATGTGGTTCTGTGTCCTGTGCATCTGTCTCCACTGCAGGGAAGGGCCCAGCAGCATCGAAGTCAGGCACCTCAGGACCCAAAGTTGGAAGCAAGATCCCCACCCCAAAGGGGGGCCTGAGTAAGAGCTCCAGCAGGACGTACACAAGACAGTGACAGTCACCACTTGTGTCTGCCAGGAGCTGTGCAAGTTTCCCCATTGTGAGCCGTGTGTGTCGACGTAGTGATGTGGGCTCTGTACCTGCTGCCCCTTGGCCTCTTGAGTCAGTGTCTACTCTCACAGGAACAGAGGGTATGGATTTGACCAAAGAACCCTTCCCGAGCTAGGCCCCACAGTGCTGGGCCCTTTGTGCTCAGGCACAGAAGTACCTCTCACTCAGGAAGCCAGCAAGTGCAGCACCCACTTTCCTTACTACTGAGATGTACCCCACACTTTGAGCTCACTGGTGCCTGTTGCACACAGGAGTAGACTTTGCACAGAGCTGAGCTGAACTTTGGTGGCCCTAGAGGTCAGCAGCAAGCCAGACTGAACCTGCTGTGCTGCCTCTCCCGGGCCTGTCTGCTAGGGTGTCACACCATAGACAGCAACAAGCAATAAAGGAAAGCAAGCAAAAGACAGCCATTCTCAGAACAAGTCCCTCCACACACACTTTGTCCCGTGCTCCTTGTGCACTTCTGTCCTCATCACCACACTGGCAGCCCTGCCTTGATGCCTTCCCTCTGCTGCAGAGTCCTAAGTGGATTTTGGATGATGCCCCCCTGGTTACCATATTCTCACCTGACCGTAGCCCACCTGCAAGCCTGTTTTCAGTATGGCACAAATGAGCACCTCCCATGTTTGCCTAACCCACAAAGACAAGTCCCACACACCTTGCTGGCCCAGAGCCTCCAAATCAGGTGTGTGACATCCTGTGATGTAAGTGACCCCACTTTCCCAAATCATTCCTAGTATGTCACTCTCAAGTGCTTCACTGAACAGTGACTCAGACCTCAGGAGACAGCTGTCAGCACCCTCAGCCCGCCTTCCTCCCAGGAGCTCTGGTCAGACAACCATCTATGGGAAGGATGAGTCCATCTGAAACTCCTGTCAACGGCGCCACCGTGGGCTGAAGGGTGGCCCACTGAGGCCCTCACTGTGCCTGCTTCCTGAGGGCTTCCTCATGCCCCTTTGAAATGTCTAGGACTGAGAAAATGAGTGTTATAAAATCAGGGTGTATTTCTTTAAAATTCCCAACCATGTAAAATGAAATCCATAGTGATTTATAGGTGCCTGAGCATCGAGCATGCTGGGTAATGAATCCCATGAACTCACCCCTGCTTTTGGCAAACAGCTCCTACTGTGCTTGGCTCAGTATCAAGTGGAACAGGATCTGTTGAGAGGAGAATCCTGACAGAGGCCTTTAGGGTGGAGAGAGCACAAAATGACTAAGAAGGCCAAGCACAGGTACCAGAGGGTGACAAGATGGTCCTTCAGGTCAGACGCTGGCTGTGTCAGAACTTAAGAAATAGATACCTGTAACGCTTTCTATCTATTGTAATTTCAAGGTATTTGTAAAAACTCCTTCCTCCTCAGCCTGGCGTGGTGGCTCACACCTGTTTTCCTGGCACTTGGGAGGCTGGAGTCACTCACCACAAGTTCAAGGGGAGCCTGGGCTCCAGAGTGAGTCTCTGGCTCAAAATTAAACAGAAGAAAAAAGGAATCCTTCATTTTTAGCCCCCATGTTTGCCTGTTACAGAATCATGAGTTTCTGCAGAGGTGACTGGCAGTATGGGCAGCCACAAAGCTCCACACCACTGTGCTTGATTCAGGGAAGGAGCTAAGAACCCCACCATTCATAATATCAAAATGTGGAACACTCCTCAAGCTTCACGTACGATACATTGTGGATATTTAATATTTATTTATATTATTTTTCATAAAATATTATTAAATCTAATTTAAAAGAATTGTGTCATATCTGATACTAGAATACGTTGTAAATACCTTTAATGAAAATTTGCAACTTTTTAATGTTTTAACATAGTTTTTCTATTTGTCTTTATTTCAGGTGCCAGAAGTATAAAATAATATATTTTTATTGTTATTGTTTTAGGATTTATGTGCTAATTTGCCTTGAGTACATTAATACAGTAAAAAGATCATTCAGTGTTTGTCTCTTTTAAGATTTTATATACATCTCTCATTTGTCTGTTTTTTATTGTTTTTATTTCTTTTATGTGTGAGTATTTTGCCTGCATGTATGCTTGTGTGCCATATGTGTGCCAGTTGCCCACGGAGATCAGAAAGGGCATCAGATCCTCTGGAACAGGGGTTATGAGCCACCTTGAGCCCTGGGAACTGAACACAGGTCTACTACAAGAGCAATAAGTGCTCTTAACCACCGAGCCATCTCCACCAAGTTTTGTTGAGCCAGGGTCTCACTGTGCAGCCCTAGCTGGTTTAGAGCTCATGGTGTAGACCAGGCTGACCTTGAACTCAGAGATCACACAGCTCTGCCTCCCAAGTGCTGGCATTAAAGGTGTGCACCACTCTGCCCAGCTCAAAGTTGTGACTAAAGGGCTAGCAATTGTAGGGCTGGAGAGTTGGCTCAGCCCTTAATGTTTGCTGAGGAGAGAGACTTGGGAGAGCTGGGTCTCTAAAATACAGTGGAAACATACAGAACAGAGAATTCACTCTGTGAGATGACTTCACATAGTCCTGGGGTTTCTCCAGCTGCTGGGGTAGGGAGGCACTTCACAGTCCTGTCAGAATGAGTTATCTCCTACCAAGAAGGATACTAAGCTGTGGGGAGAACGGAATTCACCCTTGTAGAATATGACTTTTCAAGGACAGGCCCAGCATTACATCCTCTGTGTCCCGGCTGATGCAGATGAGTAGTGACTCAGAGCTGCCATAAACAAATTTTGCAGGCCTGGAATACAAACAAATAAAACTAAGGCATCATTTTAAAGGGGACTTTTTTTTTTTTTAAGATGGTCTCATCATAGCCAACACTGACCTCCAACTCACAATGTAGCTGAGGATGACCTTGAACTTCTGACCCTCCTGCCTTGCCTTCTCCATGCTGGTGTCACCATCCCATGCTACCGTCCCCACAGCAAGGGTTCCCAGCTGGACATTCTGAGAGCCTGTGGTAGGCAGCACCTTCACCTGTTTTGAATGAGGTTCCTGGGGCCCTTTCCACGAGTCCCTAAGAGCTGCCTCTATGGTCAGACTGGCTAGAGGGCCATGGTCTGCAAGGATGGGGTCTCCCAGGCCACTGAGAAGGTCTGTCTGGGATCAGCCTGACCTGGCAGTGGGGAGAAGAAGCTGTGGTAGTTTGAATGAAAATGCCCCCCATAGACTCACCATCACTACATTATTGGAGGTGTGGCCTTGTTGGAGGAAGTGTGTCACAGGGAGGTGGGCTTGGGAGTTTCAGAAGCTCAAGGCTGGCCCAGTTTATTCTCTCTTCCTGCTGCCTGCAGATCTGGACGTAGAACTCTGAGCTACTTCTAACACCATTTCTGCCTGCACGCCACCATGCTTCCTGCCATGACGATAATGGACTAGACCTGAACCTATAAGCCATGTCCAATTAAATGTTTTCCTTTACAAGAGTTCCCATGGTCATGTGTCTCTTCACAGCAATAGAAACAAGCTAGTACCAGGAACTACAGTACTGCTGTGAAAGGCAGGGGTGACCACAGTTCTTGTTGGCAGAATGTTGTTTTATCTTTGGCACAATGGCTGCGCCTCAATGTACTGCTATTTCAGCCAGCAAGTGCAACTCCACAGTTCGCTGCCTACTTCTCTGCCAGCAGCCCGGCTGGCCAGGCTGCAGCCTGATGGGAATTCTGTTCCCACAGACACCGGCTTTGTTGCTGCTGTTAAAGGTAACTTTAACTAAATCTCCATTGTTGTATTTATAAATGAATCTCAAGATTCAAAGGCTGGGGTGAAAACCTGCTAGCTCAGAGAAGCTGAGCAGCAACTAGCTAATCTTCTCTCCTTGCTGGCTTCTCCCAAAAAACCCTCCGTCCACTTCTCCAAAACAAAAAAGCCATTGTCACTCAGAATCCCTCCCTACTACTTCCTGTGTTTCTCTGTCTCTTCCAGTTGCCCTCTGATGCTCTATGATTACTTTCTGTCAACTAGTTGCTAACTCAGCTCCTGACCCCAGGTTTATTTTATTTAATTAAGGCAAATGCTAACTCAAGGTTCACAGTGTCTGTCCCCCGACATTTCCCCCCTTTTTGTCTGAATATAAAGGAAAGGTTTTAACTCTAGCACAGTAAAACTATATACAATGGGAACAATTATCAAGTAAGGATAACATTCAAAATGTGCAGTCATTTGGCAAATTCAGAGAAAGTAGCTCATTGTCCTGTCTTGGTGAGTCCAAAGTTCTGTACCTAATTCACTTTCTATCCTAACTTATTTTACCAACCCAAAACTATCTTTTTAGACCCCCAAAACATTTCTTAAACAATTTAAGATTTTATGTCATTCAACCTTATACACTTTATGCCTCTTGTAAGATTTTTTTCTGAATTTGGTAACAAAGAAAATTGTAACTATAACTGTCTCATCTTCAACCCCATCACAGACCGTAGCAGGATATAATATTACCTGAGTAAACAGGAAGTGCAGGGCAAATATTTTTCAAACTATAGAAATGACAGAGACACCTGGCTTCCTGGACGGTCACCCAAGGTTCCTCTGCAACACTGGGGCATCCGTCTTTGGCCTACAGGCCTAGAATGTCTGACAGAATTTTCTGCGAAGCAGGGATTTTGATGGACTGTCCTATCTTGTCTTTGAAAAGTTCAGCAGTTGCCTTTGAAGGAGGGGCTGCTTACCCAATTTGGACAGCATGCTGTCAGCAGTTGAGGTAAGCACACTTTCTTGCACAGTGGCTAGCTTTGCTACAACAAAAGCAAACTCCATATGGAGGTTCTTCAATGCCCATCATCCTTTTCTGAAGTAAGTTGGTGCTGCCAGGAGCAGGCGTGTCTCAGTGTCATGAAAAGCCTTGCTATTAAAACACCTTAAATGCTGTGTTCTCTAGGTCTCTGAAGTGCTTGAAGACCACCTATCTATCTAAAATATATCTCTAACCTTGAAGATATACCTAACATGACTACAAGTTTGGTTATTATAGATGACTAAATACTAACCTGTATTTCATAATTATACATTACATTTTTAAATGAGTTGCATAGGTACAATATCTTTAACAAGAGTAGAAACATACACAGTATAACAAAAATAACCTTGAATTTGCCTCCATATACAAAAATATCTTAAACAAAAGTAGAAAAATAACACACAGAGATTAATATTAGGTACAAATGCTGCTGGCCAATGATGAGGATTTCTTATCTGCAAGATCAGTCTTAATTATCAACAATGACTTATATTAGTTACAATGCTGCCAGCCAATGACTAGGATTTACTTGCTAGCTCAGTCTTAATTATCAAACATAATTACTAATCTATATATTTTTATAAACATCTGATCGAGGACGCCTGCAGCATGTTTCCTCTCTTGTTGGGCTCACATGGCGGCTCCAAAGAAGAGAGGGGGGGGAAGAGGAAGAGAGGGATTTCCTGCTTGTCCCTGCTTATGTTCTGAGTTTGCCTGCTATGTCACTCCCTGCCTGGATCACAAGACTTCTTTTTACTACATTTCCCAGAATCCTCCTCGACTCCTAGTCCCACCTGTCTTGCTCCCCTATTGGCCAACAGTGCTTTATTCAACAACCAATAAGACAAACACATACACAGAAGGACCTCCCCTACCATATCCCCCCCTTTTTTACTTTTCAGAAACTTTTACTTTTCAGATCCTTGAATCCAACCTCCCTTGTTTAGTTTCCTCCCTTTCCATAACCAGTAACAATTTGTGACCAACCCCTCCCTAAATGATGGCAAACATTCATAACCCACCAAATGATAAAAGAAGAAAAAAGGCCCACCCCACCTCTTGGGACTGTGCGTGTCATGTTCTTAAAATTACTTCCTGTTGTCTAGGGGTGATGGCATCTTTAGAGGACTCTGAGAAAACTGAGATAATGGTCAAGTCCTAGGAGAGCTAGCTGTATCATTTGTTGTCAGTCTCTTTGTAATGGGAACGTGTGGGGCTTATTTGAAGACCTGGCTGGAGTAGTCTGTGAGGCTGAATATGATGGGGTGTCCTGTGTGCTGTGAGCATATGTTTCTCTTATTGGCTGGTGAATAATTGCTGATTGGCCAATAGCCAGGCAAGCAGTATAGGTGGGGCTACCAGACTAGGAATACTGGGAAGAGGAACACAGAGAGGGAGCTGCCAGAGAGATGTCATGTAGCCACCGAAGGAGTAACATGCCAGAGCATTACATATAAGCCACAGCCTCGTGGCGATAAATAGTTTAATAGAAATGGATCAATAATTAAGAGGGAGCTAGCTAATAAGCCTGAGCCATCAGCCTAAAGGTTTATAATTAATATAAGCCCATGTGTGGTTATTTGGGATGGGCTGTGGGGCTGGGCAGGACAGAAAAATCCATCTACATGGATCATCTCAGCTAACCACCTTTGGATGGTGTTTGTCAGTGTACAGGTGTTACCACAATCCAGGTGGAATTGTCGTTGTGGGGCCCCATTTTCCTTTTGGAGACTTCAAAGGTCACTGTTAAGAATGGTCATGGTTCACTGCAGAAAACTCAAACATTTTAAATGTCATATGTGCAGCAGACCTCACAGAGGTTAGAATACCACAATCTATTAAGTATATACAGGGTACATAACCCTAATTCCTAGTTACCTGCTGCAGACCAGACTCAAGCCCAAAACTACATACAGGAAGCTAGATGAAGCCTATTTCTAGAATTAGTATTCTATATGACCATTAATATCATTAATTAAATTAAATTTAAAGATAAATAGACAGAAATCTTAGAAATTTAGAGATAGTATTTATTTCTTAAGTTTGAAACAATCAAAATAAAACCAAAGGATTATGAGAATAGTGACAATAGAACGGTCCCTTAATTTTGGTTGTCTTCTGTCCCATATTAGGAGGCTCTTCTGACATGAGACAGATTTTTGAATTTTCTTTTAACAAATATGCTTGGGTAGAGAAGGAGAGAGCCACACCCCAACTCCAAAGCCAACTTTG